CTCATAACTTTCATTCTCTCAAACTCAAAACACTCGAAAGATCTTTACACTAGCTTTTAGCGTAGTGCACCAGTGCTGGTTGTGCTCTTGACAGATCTCCCACCTGGACTCGCGAATGATGATGTTGCTCTTGGAGTGGAAGTTGGACTAGATGGTGGCAGACCATGTGACCTCCTTGATGATCTTCTGTTGCTGGCCATTGTGTGGGGGGTTGGCCAAAGGCAACAGCCTCAGCTCTCGTGAGCTAAATGCCCGTGCTGTTGACGCTGTAGAAGCCACGCATCATTTCTACTGCCCGAGGGTCATTCCAGCCTTAGACGTCGTATTGGTCTTTTCTTTCCGCAACACGGGGCTACTGGAAGGGAATCATTTCGAATCTTCTAAAGATATCTTAGTAAGTGGTAAGGCAGTACGTTCGGGCAAGTGTATCGACAACAGAATCAAATCCACTCGACTCGACTTTGACGAGGCAGATTATCTACAGAAGTGAATCCAACATGCCAAAGAAAAAGAAAAAGAACAAAGGATGGGAGAACAGTAATGCCAAGGCCGAGCTCTATGCTGCTATTCTGGCAAATACCATCCCACTTGATCCACCTGATGAGGAGACCGAAGATGATATTCAGTACTATTTTGACTCTCTACCTGAAGTTACACTTGAAGGCGATTGGGCCAAGTTTCCACGGCGCCTTTCTGACTTGCGAGCTCAAATGAAGAGGGATCTGTCTCGAGCAAACGAAGATCAAGATGCCTTTGATCGCTTTGTGGCCAACCACCCGAAGAATCTAGTTGCGGCAAAGGGAAACTATTCAGAGTGGGAAGGTGATGCTGCACAGAAACTACTCAAAGAGGATATGGCAGCAGGATTGCATGATGAGTACAAGCCAAAGGACTTGTGGGAAAGTCGGGATGAGTATCAGCTCTTTCCCTTGAAAGTGTTTCGAGATCACATCTACCAAGAGCTTCGAACAGCACGATACTTGAATCAACTACAACAAACAGAAAAATGGGGCCACAAATGGAAACAGCTCTACAAAGAGATGCAGGGACACGATGAATATAGCTCTGACTAGTAACTAATAGTAGAATTTTACTGGTACTATCGCAACTTCCTCTCGATCTTGTGTTCATGCTACCGTATCGCAGCTTCCGCTCGTTCTCGTGTTGCTTGTTGTTGTTGTTGTTGGCTGGTGTTGCTGTCGTCGTTGTCGTCGCATCGCGCGACTGGTCGCTGCCGTCACAAACAATCCCTTAAACAATCCATTAAACAATCCCTTAAACAATCCCTTAGCACGAATGAACAATCCCTTAAATAAACAATCCCTTAACACTATCCCTTAAAGCTTCAACAATCCCTTCAACAATCCCTTAAATCTTCAACAATCCCTTTTAAATCCGGATCCATGTTTCGAGTCAGTCGTGGCAATAATTAATCCTGAGCAAAAACCGTCGGACGGTCCTGCAGCGATAGCCAGGTTGACCATACTAGTCTAGTATGTATCGCATAGGTAACCCACTGACTACAGCGTACTAGCTAGGCATACTCAGAGAAAAGCAATGAACCAAACTACCGGTACCATGGTACTGCGCTAGTGATAGTATCTGATACCGGTAGCTACCGGGTACCAGTACTCTACTACTGTACCTATTGCTCCCACGGTAGCTATAATATCTAGGACGCTACTAGAAATTACACCATGTAAATGGTTGAAAAATTGATCAAGTTTGAAAATTATGCTTGCGTGATGTGATTGTATTTTACAGTTGCCAAACATGGTTGCCCCAGGTACATGTAGCTACCATGTAGGAGTCTTGGCTAGAGAGTGCGTTGAGGCTGTTCCTGGGTCTGGTTTCAAAATCAAAAATTGTGCATACATCAGGGCTGACTGATCCTTCCATGGGAATACCGTAGCAATGAAGTGGTGTCATAGGGTACCTCATAAGGCAGTCAGCCCGCACGGAAGCTGTGTGACATGTACAAGTCCAGACATTACTGACTTGCTTCATCCCAAAAAGGCTTTTCTTCCGCAATGTCTGGTTCTGGGTTTCCAGCAAGGAACACAGCACCCAAGAACATGGCTCCTCCAACTACGCCAGGGGCCCCTATGGTTTCATGCAAAAAGGCATAGCTCAACATGGCCGAAATCAATGGTTGCGTTGCATAGACAACCTGCGCTGTCGTTGCGCCAATTGCATTTTGAGCCCGGACCTGGAGAAGAGACGCTCCAGCATTTACCAAAAGACCATTCCCAACAGCAATGGCCACAAAAGCAAGTAGATTGGTGGACATTTCTCCGGACAAGACCACATTATGGATGTAATCCCAGATCTCGTCTCCTCCAAAGGCAAGCAACAGAGATGACGACAAGATGGCCTGAGAAGCAATCTTGTTCGTAATCAGAGTGACAGGAGGGACCTTGTCTCCCCATCGATTCAGACTCAAGTCATATGCCCCGAGGAACAGGGCAGATGCCACACAAAGACCGTCGCCAATCAGAGTTGCATCTCCCGAGCCATCTGATCCCTGGGTAAACAGCAAGACTCCTGTCATGGCCAGTCCTACTGCAGTCCACATTCTTTTTGTGATTGGAACACCCATCAACCCTTGAATGACAGGCACAAACAAGGTTGTCAACTGGACTAGGAATGCCCCATGGGTAGCACTGGTCAATGAGAGCCCGTAAAAGTTTAATGTAGCTCCTATTGCAATGATGTCAATCAATGAGACAGTGAATTAGTCAACTTGAACAAACTTTCCAACACGACCACAAATGAGCCTAGCCCCAGCTTTCAGGTTGGTACCACTCACCAAATGTCTTGAAGAGTCCCATTTCAAAGCCTGCTCTAAGATCATTGCTATCATCTCTAGATTCCAAAGCCAGTTCATCGGACAACTCTGGGGTATCCAACATGCTGGTACTCTCCAAGACTGGTTTGAGTAGAAACAAAGAACACAGTGCGGAAATGGCAGCTCCTGCATTGACCAATAGCACGGGTGGAGGTTTGTCGGTCAGGGAGAACACCGCATGGGCCAGGGGCGAATGGCCCGCAAAGATGAACGTGACAACCATAATCACAGCCAATCCTCGTTGATACTCGGCATCTTGATCCACCATAAAGTTTCCATCGTCAACCAACGTAGTTGTGGACTCTGCTAGTTCTTTGGAATAATCGGAAATGGGTGAAACGGACAACTTGGTCAAGGGAGACTGCTGATTTGGCTGGCGAGAACTATGCAAGCGGATCAACACGTCCTCTTGAAAGTGACGACGCTGAAAATCAATCAAACTAGGAGCCTCGTGGCCCACGGCTTGGGCAGATCGAGTTCTGGAGGGAGATCCATGATGTTTTGGGCTTTGTGAGCTCCACGCTGCCACCGAAACAGTGATCAATGGGAAAAGAACAAACGCCAATGACAGCCTCATCTTTATCATAGGCAACAGACTACTCCAGAGTAGGTACTTGGAATTGGAATCCGATAGCTCGTATCGTTATCAATGAGGCTGCTGCTTCTGGTTTCGTTATCCTGGAGGGAGTATCAAGAAGCTCTCGGACGAAACTTCCTCTCTTTTGAGGGCAAAAAGAATTCTGAGCCAAAATCGTACCGGAAGACTGCGTCATTTTGTGTTCGTCACGCTACCACTATCCTTATTCATGTCACTGACGTTGTAAACCGGACCTGATTGATTCTTACATCATCCAAGCACCCAACAACGCAACAACGCAACCAACAAGCATCCGATCCTCAATCGACTTGATTGTTGTGTTGGAAGTGTCAACCATGGCCGGCCGTGTTACTATCCGCAAAGCGGGAGAGGTGGTTTCCACCGGCGCCCTTCGCGCTGCGGGTAGCCAAACTCCTCTGGCGACGCCTCGTGCCGTCTCCAAAGAGGAAGCTCCCTTTATTGCTCCCGCTCGCGAATCGACCAAGACCACCATGATGCCCTGGAAGGGCTGGGTCCAGCGTTTCATTGGAGATACCTTTGGTGAAGATCGTTTGAAGCAATTCCGTCAGAATGTCTTCTTCATTGAAGACGATGTCTACGATCTCAACACTCCCAATCAGAGTAAGAAGGTTCCCATTTCCAAGACGGATCCATCCATCACGGCCCAGTATCGTTACCCGAGCCCTGGATCGCAGCCAGCCGTTCGTATCCCCGACATGTACGATGATGAGGATCCCTATGACTCGGGATACTTCAAGAGAGATACTCGTCGACGCTACAATTTCTCCGAGTTGAAAAACCCTGAAACGGAAAAACTCAAGCTCGAATACATGGACCAAAACGATCCTACCGTCCAAGAAGCCAAGGAAGAATTGATGAACGCCAAGCCGGCTTCATCTCCTGGTAACCAGGTGCGTGTCCAGTAGTATGATTATTTGATGGATGGGCAGTGCTGTCACAATTCTATTCTCTTTTTCTCACACTTCCTCTGCACGCCTCAATTTTCCCTGCACATTATTACTGTAGGGTCGATTTGCTACTGGCCCCACCAAGTTTGACCCTACCGGATTGCGTGCTACCATGTCTGTCACTTGGGAAGAAACCGAGAAAAGTTTGGATACATTCATGCCTGATCACGTAAGTGGAAATAGGCTTGCGTGTGTGTTTCTGCTATTGTATAATAAATGACATGCCGTCAGACTAACCAACTCACCTATTTCTCTCGTTATCGTTCTGCAGCTCCCAACTCCTACATGGGTGGGCAAGGAAGACGAAGTTGCCAAGTGGTACGAAGATCGTGATTTGCCCGTTCCTTTCGGAGCTCCTTACGAAGGCTTGAAGGTTCCCGTAGAACGTCGTGTTGTCGTCTGGTAGGTCGGAGTGTTCCCTGGCTGGTTCCAATCTCTCTTAGGCACGCTTTCTGGAAAAGCAACAGTGTCGATCGCCGTTGAGGTCAGTGAATGGAGCATAGTCCATAATACTAGTTAATATAAACAAGTGTGTAGCTATTGCTCGGATACCTTTAGAAGTCAATTACTAATACTGGTGGTACCGTAGAAGGCACGGAATACGAAACAACTGCTGCTATGAAACAACTACCGTTCTATAAACGCCCTTTTCGGACATGATTTCGACAAGGATACGGCTATCTTTCTTTGTCGATGGAACCACTGACTGAATGATCTTTATCAGTTTCTCTTGCAGATCGTCTTCTTCATTTTCCTTCGTGTCATTATCATTATTGATGACAGTGGGCAATTTCTCCAGAACACTATCACTGTACTTGCCCATGGCAAAGGCCGAGTATTGCTGAATAATCCCGGATGGTTCCACCACAAAAATGTAGGGCAGTGAGCTGGATACGATCATGACCACCAAGCCAAGAGGTCTGGACCATGATCCTTGATTCCCCTTCCATTCTTGTAGCAATAGTTGCGGTGTCCATTCGGCATCTTCTGGGAATCCCCAAAATCGTTGCATGTATTGTGACACGGCATGGGCCGCTCCCGAAGACCCCAAAAAGACATTGTACCGCGTCCATACACGGTGAGAATAGGCTCTGACTCGTTCCAAAAGCCAATTGGCATCGCCTCTCAAGCCAGAACAAACCATGGCCAATTTGTGCTCTGGATCGTTGTGCAGGAGCTGTAGCATTCTCGAGTAAGCGTCTTCCAAGAGAATACTACTAGGTTTCAATGGTGAATGGTCTTCCAAGAGTGACAGGACAATGGTGCAATTCTGGGAGGAATCTCTGGCGGCAACGACCAACCTGCCGTGCAACGAGGCAGCTTTACGGGCATTTTGAATCTGCTCGGAATTCCCAAACTCATCCAATGCCCGAACGGAAACAACAGAAGGCGTCTCGGTGCTGCTGCTGGCGCATACGAGCGGAAGTTGGCAGATACTGCTACAGAACAACAAGATACTAATCCAAGTCAACCCAACATTGTTTGTCCTCATCATCATCGTGGTTGTCTTTGCCTTTTGCCTTCGAAAATGGGGATTGAGGAGATTGATGGGATCTACCTCCGACATTACAGTTGGGGTTAATTAATGGAAAGATCCAAGAATCGAATCTTTCGGCTGCTTGGCACTTTCAAAGGACCATGACATGACCATGACGGTCTGCTGGATACACTTTAGTCTCTTATCTGTTGCGCTGACATTGGAGTCTCCCTTTCCGGTCTTCTATCTGCTCCTTTGCAACCAGTTGGCGAACCAACAACAGCTACCATCCAGCTCCAAGACAGACAAGACAGTCGCCATGCCCCCTGCCACGTCCAAACAAGACGACGACCATCCGCTGAATCTTTTCTTCCTGGGCAATTCGTACTTTGGCCAGAACGGATTGGCAGGTCTCTGCAAACAAGCTTTCCAGTCATGCGATATCTCGTCGCATGTTAAAAGCCATCATCCAGGGGGTGAAACCTTTTCTGGTCACTTGAACAACTTGAACAATAAGAAGCATGGCATTCACAGAAGTCTCTTGGAAGAGAGGAGCGATAGCATTCCGTGGGATTGGGTGCTGTTGCAACAACAAAGTCAAACACCAGGATTTGTTCATGACTCTCCACAACAGTTCCAACAGACAGTGGAACATGCTCAACAAATTGTCGCCAACCTCCAAGAGCGACATGCCCAAATACAAGTCTTGTTTGTCATGACATGGGGCCGTCGACACAACGACAAACACAATCCTAACCTCTTTCCCGACTTTCTCACCATGCAACGCAAAATCACCGATGGGTATCTGGCCTATGTGGCAGCAACCAGCACGCCCAGCAAACCCACCTTTGTGGCTCCTTGTGGCCTTGTCTTTGAAACAATCCACCAGGATGCCGTGTCCCGGGGGGAAGATCCTACCAAGGAGGGATCCTTGTTTCACTCACTATATATCCGAGACGGGAGTCATCCCAGCTTGGCTGGAAGCTATCTATGTCTCTGTACCATCCTTGGAACGCTGGTAGAGATGGATGTGCAAAAGGATCTCGAGTGGGTACCACCAAATTTGGACCCCGACATTGCGGAACAAATTCGAGAAGCCGTGAGTCGAACCATCCGAGAAACTGCCTCCAACCGCATCATACGATATCCATGGCAAACAGTACCACCGTAGGCAGGAACTAAACCAAATGTTTCATGGGCCTACTAGCTAGCTAGACTATGTCAATAGAAGTGCGATCACGCACCAGCGCGTTTCGGTAGATCTACGAAGTACAGACAATGAGGTACCGGTCTGGTCGAAACGACAGTCGATGACCTGATGTCAGTTGCGGGGTTGTCGAAGACAAACCACCCGCAGTGTTTCCCAGCACCTTTGCCAGTAAACAGCGAAGCATTTGAAACACTGACGCTTTCCACAAACTCTAGATTACGTTTTGGTTGGAAGAGAATCGAGTCGAGTCTAACATCTGATATCTAGCTATTAGTCAGTCTACAGAAAAAGAAGAGGGCCCTGGCTGCTGCTGCATCTAATGAAAGTAAGAGAATTGTCCTTCGAAGGGGATCATTGGGTTTCCGGCGTATGCCTTGGCGATAGGCGCCAGAACGGGAACAGATCCTGGGACGGTGTCTGCGCACAAGAATCCAAAGATACCAATCTGAGCAAGACGTCCATTGTTCAATTCAGAGATCAAGCGGCGTTCCTTGGTCTCAGGGGACATGTTCTTGTTGAAGCCAAAGGGATCGTACAGGTCCAAAACGGGGTGGACGGAATCCCTGAAGGGTTGGAAGGATGGGTACTTTCCTGGTTGACGTCCCTTCATGTAGTGGGGAAGTGATCCGCCTCCACATTCATCCCACAATTCTAATGCCGAGATCACGGCAAAGATTTGCCATTTGGCACCGACAGGAACAGCATCCCACTGAGCTTCGGGTCCGAGAGAGACAGCTGGGTGGGCGGCTCCGGCAAGAGTCTGTGGCCATGGGAGCACAAAGTTGGACTGAACGCAGTATCCAACAAAGGCAAACATAGCAATTCGTCCGTGCTTGATTTCAGAGTGACGAAGGAAACCGATGGTGGCTTCATTTCCAAAGCCCCAGAAGTCCTTATCGGCAAGGTTCAAAGGATCATAGAACTTCAAGGTGGGGTTGGCCTTGGCGGCAATGGCTTCCAAGTCAGCCTTGGTGGCAGACAGAGCACTCTTGCTGGAAGAGTCCGAAGCGGGAGCGAAAGCGGATGCTCCAGCGAAAAGAGAGGCGAGGATCAAGGAAAGCTTCATGGTGAAATCGTATTGGTGACAAATTGTAACCACTTCGGGTTCAACTGGTTGGGAACCTGGGCTTGAAGGCGAAGACAAAAAGATGAAGTCATGGAGTCCTTGGCAAAGCAAGTTCAACTCATCAAGATACGGCACAAACGTTATCCCTATTTTTAAAACTCATACGATTTTAGCAAAGAGTGACTGGATTTTAAAAGCAACTATGAACAGTCACGAGATGTCTCGTTGCTGAAATGACAGGACTCATGATTGAGACAAGTTACAGTGCGAGTGACAGTCGATTCGATTCGATTTGACTCGATTCAATCGATTGAATGATTCGATCACACAAATGTCTCTTTCTCGCCACACGTCAGCTGTGACATGACGTCCGCTGCTGCCAACCAAAACAGAAGAAGCTCCACATGTCGAGTTGTTGAAGTCAGTCTGATGTTCTTCTCTCGCTCCAGCAAAGTGTTGCTCATCACCGTACCTCCCCAAAGTTCTGGGAACAACAGTTGGCGAAACCTCCAAAGAAGAGAGGAAAGGAAACACCTCGTAGTAGTATTGATTTGGCATTGGCATTATCATCCGGTGACCGCACATTCTGAATACAGAAAAAATCAAGAGATAGCAGAGTAACAATTGCAAATACCTCAAGTTGAGATTAACCCGAACTGATGGAAATGATGTTTCGAAATGTGCAACAGTCAACCATGAAAAACGGCGTGTGGGGCCCATTAGAAGGCCAACGAGGATGGTGGATGGCAGCGTTATTGGTGGCGGCCATTGGTGTCTCAAGTCCAAATGTCGAGGCTTTCCAGGTTAGCAGTCCCCACGCTGTCATTCCGAGCTCCCGAAAGGGAACAGTAGCACTTTCAAGTGGAGTGTCATCCAACTACAACAGAAATACGATTGACGATTCCAAGGTTTCAACTGGCCTTGGGGCTCACGAAAGAAGAAGGAGTCCATCCCCTGTGACACCATCGCGAATGTTTCTCAAGGCTGGGCAGTTGCACTCTCAGCCTTTTGCATCATTGTCATCGGACTTTTTTGACACCCCTGGGGTGTCTACCACATCATCAAAAACGACAACAAGCAGTCTTTTGGCTGATCAAATGTTGGATGTCCTGCTACCTCGAAGGGATCGGGGTATCCTGGGCTTTTCCATTCAAGACCACGGAGACAAAATAGTGCCATCTGGCAATTCACCTCCTTCCGTATCAGAGACATCCACTTCTCTACACTCGTCGACGGACCACTCTCAAGAGCGACAACTGTTCCAGTGGTCAGATGCCGATCTACAAGTTTGGAATGTCCCGGAAGCTCTGGACGAAGAATGGCTGGTGCCGTCGAGTGATAACAGCATGCACCACAATCCAATTCTCAATCGATCACCCAACAAAAACAACGTAGAAAAAGAGGATTCCAGCGCCACTGCCCCGGCCTGGTTCCCTTGGATGCCATCCATTACTCAAATTCAGGCCCTCAAGGTTCGGGAACTTAAGCGGATTTGTGCTGATCGAGGACTGAAGCAGGTACGTTCATGTCTTGTACTAAGTCTGAATCTAATTAGTTGAGTCAGAAACCGACGGATGTATCATCTTGACGAACTTGTTTTATCACAATCCATTTGTTCACAATTGCTCTCGATTCGATTCTGGTGTAGATGGGCAACAAAGCGGAGCTCCAACAGCGACTCTGGGATTGGACACGTACGCAACAACATCGCCAAAGGCGTCTGATGATTGGAAGCAACAGCCTTGGCAATTCAGTTGCCGGTAGAAAGCTCCGAATAGAATCCACCACTAGGGATCTTTTGGACAAACAAGACACAACGGACGACGTTTCTAGTCCTTCTAGTCTAGAAGAGTGGGCTAGGACCTACAACATTGAGCCGTTGCTTCAGAGGCGAGAGCAGATTCACAAGGAGAAGCGAGAGGGCAAGCCTGTAAAAAAGAAACCAGGCACAAAGTCACGTAGGCGTTCCTATCCTATCAACCCTTCCAAGGAGTATCTGTCCAAGCTTTTTGACGCCCCGTCGTCTCAGTACTCAAACTTTGAAGTCAAAGAAATGTATGCTGCTGCAAAGACCGCCGACAAGAACGGAGACCGTGTGCTTTGCAAACAGATTCTGCACAAGCTGAAGGAAGCAACGCCACATGATGGACGCATCCACCGTCGTTTGGCTCGAATGGAAATGGAGGAAGGCAATGTGTACCAAGCCAGAGAAATCCTTCAAGATGGATTGCGATCTAACCCCGACAACGCCTACTTGTGGCATGGTCTGGGGCTGCTCGAGGTGAAGGCTGGCAACGACGATGCCTCTAGCAAGTGTTTCATGAAGGCGATCCAGTTGGACCCTGCGTTCCCGAATGCCTACCATGCATGTGCCACCAGGGAACACACGAAAGGACACATTGCCAATGCCATGAAGCTCTTGAAGGCGGGACTTCAGTATTGTCCGACTAATCATCGCCTGCACCATGCACTTGGCGACCTCTACCGAGAAGCCAAATTGCTTGACATGGCCGAGAAAAGCTTTCGACGTGCGTTAGAGCACAGCCCCGAAGTGAGCCGTTCGTTTGCTTACACGTCGTTGTCGCATGTTGCCTACGAACTGGGCGATATTCAGGCTTGTCGGTCTTGGCTTCGAAAGGCCATCAACTTGAACAATGGGCGTAGTGCCAAGGGATGGCTTTCCATGTCCCGCCTTGAGGAAAGCGAAGGCAACATCGATGCGGCACGATCAGTGTGTATCGCAGCGCTGAACATGTACGAGAAGGGCCTGCTAAGCCGAAGCAGGCGACCAGGTTCGGAGAATACCTCGAAGCAGGAGGGGATGTTGCTAGAGTCTGCTCGTTTCCAGGACCCAGTGCAGCTGAAGAACCATCTGTTGGAGTCGGTGCCAAAGTACAGATCAGGCGATCACTTCTTAAAGGTTTACCGCAACTGGGCTCGTTTGGAGGAGAACCATGGGACCACAGAGACGGTCGACGATGTATACAACCGAGCGTCACTTGCGTTTCCATGGGAGTGGAGAGTCTCTCTTGATTGGGCCAAGTATCATGTCGATCAATGGGCCTCCTGCCGGGTCAGCTGGCGATTCGATCGCGCCCGCTTGCTTTTTAATGAAGCCTGCAACAAAGCATCGAATAAGTAAGTCAACGCCTAGTCGAGAATGTCGTACGTTGCCAATCGCACGTGCTGCCACTAATCATGTTGCTTATTTTTATCACTGTGGCGCAGGCATGCAGATCCCTATCGGTTATATGCCGAATTTGAGATGAGCCAGGGCATGTACGAGGAAGCGAGGAAAATCCTTTATCATGGTGCCCTTGTCATATCGGATTCATCTGACGGTGGTATGGGTAACCAAAGGGGAATGGCGGAGCTCTACCATACTTGGGCTGTTTGTGAATGGTACCTCAACAACCTCTCGAGAGCCGAAGTTCTTTTCGATCATGCTCTGAGGCTTACGAAAGCCGGAGAGGAAGGTTCGTCATTGCGCTCGTCCATTCTGTACTCGATCGCCCAACTGGAGTATGAGGTCGGCGAGTACCATCTGGCACAGCACTGTGTATGTCTGTGTTTGAAGGAAAACGCGTTACCCGGAGGGAATGCGAGAGTTTGGGAACTGTGGGCCAAAGTCGCCGAAGAACTGGGAGATGAAGATCTCTCTGAAAAATGCTGGGAACAGGCTAGTCTGGTCGAGACCGCTGTTGACGATTTCGACGCGACGAGTCTTTCCGTGCTACGAGCACTGTCGGACCCAGGGTCGGCCACGATGAAAGAAGCAGACATGCAGAAGCTGATGCGGAAGGATCCCTGGCATTACAGGATTGTTGATGTTGAGAGGAAGCGCAGCAAATTGTTTGGAGTCACGCTCCCTCCCGAAAGAGAAGAGTTGCAGGATTGAGGAAGCTTTGATGGATTTGTTTTTGTGTTGCGGGTAATAGAAAGTTGTTTGGATAGAGACTAGTAGACCTTCTCTAGCTTGCTACCGGTACATGTAGACAGACCAACTTCAGGGTGTGCGACGGTCATTCTGCCGGTAGCCCAAGCCCATAGCTCACAAGTAATTGGTTGCAGCGATGAATAGCTGTGGATCAGCTTTCCTTGAACTTAGGGCATCAAATACAAAGGGTAAAAAGGGTTTAGGATTCAATCCAAGTAATCTTTTTAAAAAATATAACTTAGGGTAATTTCATTTTGGATCTTTTTAAAAATGCAAACTCTCAAAAAAAGAAGGGAAGAAGCACAAATGTCGCATCGTGTCTACTTTTGGACGGCTGGCTTGGTTTTGGTGTCAAATCAACAGGACCACGCACGAGACCAGGAACCAAGGAGCAAGGAGCGGAGCTTTACAGCGCTAGCTCTAGCTAGTAGCCGTAGCCAGCATAAATCCATTAAGCAAGCACACTTCTTCGCGCTTCTTTGGTGAAACATCAGCAAACGTTGATTGCCGTCGAACCGGAAGCACCCATCGCTGCTTTCTTTGTTGTGTTTGTTGTTTGGTTGTGGATAGATTCGATGTGCCTCTGGGCTTGCTAGTGGGGTTCCATTCGTTTTCCGTAGACTGTATCTCGCCATGATGACAGATGCTCACGCCCCGGTGCCAGGCCTGGCTAACAATCCCCTTCCAGCGGCTCCGGCTCCTTTCCATGACTTTGCCATCACTCATGGCCATATGATGACAACGGCTCCAGCTCCGATGGTGGGACACACAGCGATGAATGGGGCCCGTATCAGCGCTCCTGCCGTAGTTCAAGCAACAACACCTCCTCCTCCTGCTCCAGCAGCCGCGCAACCTGCACCAGCAGCCGCCACACCAGCCCCGACAACCGCCCAGCCTTTCAATTCTACGACTTGGATGGCCAGTGGACCAGTTTTTGCGGCTTTGGCTCAGTTTAGTGCTGCACCTGCCGTGGCAAATCCTGCAATGGAACAGCAGCAACAAGCTGTAGCGGCAGCCGCACCGAGGCCAACTTTTGTCAATGCCAAACAGTACCGGCGCATTCTGAAACGGAGAGAAGCACGGGCAAAGTTGGAAGAGTACTATAGACAAAAACGGGCCAGGAAAGCAGATCAGGAAGCCAAAGACCCAAAGCCCTACATGCATGAGTCAAGACATCGGCATGCCATGAAGCGTCCTCGGGGTCCAGGAGGTCGTTTCCTCACCAAGGTAGGTAAATCGAGTTTTGTTGTGATGGTTGGTCCATCCGTCGCGTGCTCATGTGTTGGATGTTTCAATGTTCCATCTTGCTTTGTAGGCCGAGCTAGTTGATTACTACAAGAAGCACCCAGAACAAGATCCCTCCAACCAGAAGGATCTAAATGAACATCCCAAGAGACGCCGCGAAAACGAGCAGTAAACGCCTAGCTAGCTAGTGGCAGGCCTCATCTGCCTGGGTGATTGCTGCTCAGTTCCTGGGATTGTGATCGGGACGAGAGTCAGAATGACATCAATTTTATGGTAAGCCTCTGACCCCTCATCATCGATTTCTAAACAAGGCAACAATGGAATCTTTGCTTCAACGATTCCATGCTACACTACATACTTTATATTGAAGATCAAATGCTAGATATTGCAAGCCATACCATCCAAATGAAAACCAGCTTCAGATCAATCTTCACCGCACACTCGACGGAAAGTCTTGCTACTTTGGCTATTCCTTGCCGCTGCAGCCATTAGATTTCCCTTTGTCTACCCACAAACATAACACGCTAACTGTAGATATGGATAGCAGCAGCTACAGTACCTCATGCAGTACCACATCGCTTCAAGCTCGTGATGGATGTGTCTTTTACCGGTTATGTCTGAAGGTCAGTGACGCAAGTAAAGCAAACTTTCTTTGCTTCCCAAAGACGTCTTGTAAATGGGGTAACAATTTTTGGGGTGATGCCCATACCTTGTGTACCGTTACCTGGTAGAATTCCCGCAGGTCCCACTACCGGTACTCAAAGAACTCACACTTGCTCTTAGCAAGGACGAGCTATTTTAATTAATACTGACTCAGTACAGTCTCCAAACGCAATCGCGAGTGGTGGGATGGAGCTCAAGCAAGCTCCAGACTCTTCTGCATTTCGGTTGCATTGCCGCTTCCAGCTTTCCATCAAACCATCACAGAGTCTAGCTAGCATTGACGGTAGACGGACACAAAATTCCTGGTTTGTGCCATTTCCCCCCTTTTTGGCCAAGCAACATTTGGGAAACCACAACCCACAAGTGTCAACGGCCAGCTTTGCCAGGATATCTGTTTGTCATCTCAATCGACTACCGGTACGCCGCTATAGATCGAGATACATTTTTCGGCGGAGCTTGGTGCGCTACAGTTAGTTCGGTCACTTTTTGCTATGATCCTATAGCACTATTGTCCACTTGCAATCTTGAGGCCGGCTTAACCGTTCGCTAATCCAGTTTGAATGAATGTTGCTCCGCGTTGGAGGAAGACAGCAGGGGAGGATCGTGGATGGGAATATGAAGCCGTCTGGATATTCAATTCTGGCTCTCCTTCTTGCAATGTCCAGAACTAAAAAAGCAGCACCAGGTAGCATAGATGACGACGAATCTACTTCAACTTCTTCGATGAGCTCCTCTTGAGATCATCTTCACTGTTGACAAGCTTTCCTTCATTGTAATAACAGTAGTATCCGGTGGCCGGATCTGGTCTACCTTCAAATCCAATCAGTTTTTCAAGACCATCGGGTATATCTCCTTCCAGAACAGATTTGTCAACTATGATCCAATCTTGTCCTTCAGCGTCCCAATAGGCCCATTCGATCTTATCTTTAGTAGAAACTTGAAGTGGAAACAAGCGACGAGCGTGCTGAAGGAAGCGCAAAAGTGGCATTGTCAGGTATTCAATTCCATTCCAAAATAGGCAGCATTATCAAAACGAATACAAGCAAACATTGGAGTTGCTTTGTTCGTCCCGAAATTGTGTTCAAGATGGATCGAATCCCCTTACCTCAGCAATAAGCGCACGTTGCCGAGCGACAGCAGCCATTGTGTATTCATCGGCCTTGCTCTTTACATTGCCAACCTCCAACCATTCATCGCTTTTCTTGCCCTCGGCCTTCACTGCAACTCGAAACGGCTTTTCTTTTTTTAGGTCACCAGAGTATCTATCCCACTGCGCCTTGGGCTTGATCTTTTTTTCTTTCTTTTTCTTCGACGAGTCGCCTCCGAACCCAGCCCCCAAAAGAACAACTTGCCGGGAGAACACCTCTGGCTGCGACACGGCTGTGCCTGATAATCGGCAATGTCTTCCCGATGGGAAAGGTAACACGTGAAAGCTCGCCACAAGGAGCGATCTGACAGAAAAGAGGAGAGCGATGAAGGAAAGATAATTCATTGCGGTGGTAGTGATCTTATCAGACAATGATCATTGGATTGATTCAACTCCTGGTCGAGGCGAGGTTGAGTTGGTGGTGGTGTCATCCGATGAGGCCAGCCTGCAGCTGCAGTTCCGATGCATGGTTGTCAACCTGCCGAGAAAAGATACGCAACGAAAGAGCGACTGCCAGAGCTTCAATCGCGTCGGCCAGCAGTGCTGTCTAAACATACCGGTACAGTCGTAACCTCAGTTTCAAACAGCAGAAACGAAACCAAAGCTGAACTTCTAGTGGGAAAAAAATTAAAAGTAGTACCGGTACATGAAGGCGGTATGGGATTGTTGTTTTGCAAAGAATAGACTACTGTGTTTAAGATTCTACGTATTGCATAATAGCACAGTCGTTGCATTGGTGTCATTGGTTTTGGTGCTGGAGATTGACACCATTCATCAACAGAAGCTGGTACATGAGGAGCATGCTTGGCAGCGGTGTTTTATTCTGCCCCAAGCAACGCACTGAACAAAGATGCCATGCCACTTCGAATTTTGGATCGGATGTATAGGTATGCCAGCTGGCAACATCCGCGTGTAGGGCACTCCAGGTTGTCGAGACTGTTATCAGTCAACTGGGGCACAATGGTACAGTAGAAACAGCAGATTGGAACACGCGCAAGTGAATTGCCAGCACCTCGAAGCTCCATCGCTTACCTGTCCCTGGATCCAGCTATAGTATGTGCTGACTTGCGTAAACACATCGGGTTTGTTACTGGCGCATTTGGATGCAACAAATGAGGCAACTCCCACCTGTACGCCACTTGAATCAAAAAGCGGACCGCCAGAGTCTCCGCTGCTGCAAGACCATACACGATGCAGTAAGAATGTGACATGAAACAGCAATCAAAAAACAGTAAATGTGGCTGTTCCATCAGTACGCTGTTTCTTACCAAGCCCCGCCACCTGCAATTTCAGTGCACAGATGCTCATTTTCGCTTGTGAAGAAACCCCATTGGAGACCACAACTGAAGTCCCCAACAAACTCTGTTTGAAGAGTCTTGAGCACGTTATTCTGGTCTCCATCTGTGATTGTAGCTCCCATCCCAACAACGGTGAGCTGCTGAGCTTTAGTGCTGGGATAGGTCGGGTTGCTATTGAGTGTGACGAAAGACACCCCAGTGACTGGACTGGCCAATTTCAAAATAGCAAGATCATTGAGGCTTTTGGAAGCATCGTAGTTAGGGTGTGTGAGAGCGCCCTGGACATTCACAGTGATACCATCTGTTTCCGTGCTTGCCATGACCCTTACAGTTGATGGTGGGCCTCCTGCTTCACACGTTACACAATGTGCAGCTACCAGTAGGAATCGCCGAGACCGAGGGCTTGCAAGTGAGTGACAAGTTCGAATTTGCCAAAAAAATCACTTTCTCCTTTCACCTATTCACCTACCCGTCAAGACACGATCCTCGGAGATGAGGGATCCCCCACATTGGCTGTTGCCAAAACGAACAAACCAAGGCGAATTGGCAATGTTGGCGGTCGATCCTCCAACGATCCCCTGCACCTCATTTTCTGGGATTAGGCCACGAAGAAAGGTATGCACATGGTTGTGTTCCTCAGTCAGAGCAAATGGGAAACAATAGAGGAGGAAAAGGATCCTTCCTGACCACATGATGAATGCTCGATTACTGCAATCCTGGCTAGAGTAGCTTGACAATATGGATTTCACACAGCCAGAGCCAAAGTCGAAACACCGAACCTTCTATCCTTGAGTGGCTGTTTTGTGAAACAACGAAGTAGCTCAGAACACCAAAAGAACGTCCGAGCAGCTCAACGGCAACAGCATCTCAAAGAGGTGTCGAGGACAATCGATCGTTGGCGCACCTAGCCAGTAACTACGGCACCAGCCACATCGCATCAGTTCTGGTACCAGTATTAGAGCAGGTCGGTACGGTATGCCGCAGTGTAAATCGGCCTGACGTAGCGGTACCGGTACAGTACAGGTCTAGCAGAATCGAATCCTTGCCAAGCCAGGATCAGTTCCCCGTCAGGCGGAAGATCCTTCGCGTTGGCTGTGCAAGCCCATCGTCAGTACTACCGTACCGGTATTAGGACATTGCGATTATAAAATACCAGTACACTAGCTGTTCTTTCTAGTCACGCCAGTGCGCAACAAGGTACATGTAGCTTCCTCTCTGGCTTGCTGCGCGCCCACACAACAGGAAACAACCCCGTTGTCAGCTACAGCACAACAGGAGCATTATAGTACTAGCTTAAAAAAATTTCAGTTCTACGAAGTTGGCTTCTTCTTGGAAGTGACCAAGCGCGCGTTTGGGCGGGACGGGAGTACCGTAGTTAGTGGCGCGAGTAAAAGATGAGCAGAGCAACATTGGTGTGTCACGTGGCTGAGACAGAGAAAGAGAACGTGAGAGCTTTGGCAAGGCGAGGAATTCGTTGCTGTGGTTTGCGTGAGAGATACGATCTGAAGTTGCCAAGGAGATGGCGCGGCTGCTGAAACTTGCCAGGTGGGTGGAGCTGTCCGAGTCGAGTCTGTTCAAACTGGAGATAGACCTGCGTGGATCGACTGTATGTCTCTGATACATTAGATGAACCTCATTATGGAGACAACGTCCAAGATCAAAATCCACCGCTTTCGAGAAAGCTGGGCTAGAATGCAGGGACTTTTTTGTCTGTCGCTGACCAAGACATCTTTCCTTAAGTAATAACACGGCAGCACCCTGGGACTGGACGCCCTTGTTGGCAAGGCCGCCAGTTGGTGGACACGGTGCCATGCAAACATAGCAAAAGAAACTTTAAACGAAAGGAAGAAGCTGTCATGTGCTGCGTAAAGAATTACTAGCTATTGAGATCCTGCAATCCACCTCTTCCTTTGAGATTGTCGGTGTTCCCGCCAATAGATGTGAGCGAACCCCAAATTCTGACAAGCTCTAGCACTAGATGCGCGACACCATTGGGAGCATCACGGAGACAAGTGGCGGTTTGTCATGAGTGAGTACTTCCACCCAGGCCAAAAGTAAGGCCCTTCTAGAGACCCTTGAATGTCAATTGCAGTTAGTTGTGCATGACCAGATTGCGAGCCATTAGACGGCGTAAGGAGCACAGGCCAATACTGGAGCCGATGGGATTACCTCGGATCTCTGAGTGGCTCTGGATACCAAACAATGCTCTTCGCAATTCCCCCATGGTACTAATCTAGTACCAGGTCGATGCCAATCTCATGCCAGACATCGCTTAGCTCTCAGAACTGTGATTTGAAGATGAGGAATCCAAGGCATGATCCAGTCCTTCGGGTGTTATCACATCTGGTGCAGTAGCCAGCATCGCGGCACGGTATCGTTCCTTCAGAACCAAGTCCTTTTCGTGATTGTCTGGTCCAAACATGGTCCTTTGAGACGTATTTGTCGCTTCGTCTACGACTGCATGTTCCTCTGTGGATCGTGTGTCTATTGAGCCGCTGGGCTGAACTGAAAAAGCCCCAGGAGTTGAATCATATCCAGCAGTATTACCGGTAGCAACTCCTATTCGCTTCTTCAGGAACGAGTTTTGACCTGTTGTCGGCACCATCGTCACGGCGCCTGGAGAAGACTCTGCCGAATCGCTTTGGTCTTCAGTCGCCAGTGTCTGTTCCGACTCAAGCCCAGGGAATGCTGTATCCTTCAACAGTGTTGGTTGCGACACCTTGGCCCGATTCCCCTCCATTGGAGACAGTCTCGCCTTATCAGTTTCACCATTGTAACCTGCCACCTGTGACCTGCGCGCAAAGGAGCAGTCAGCATCAATGATGGGATCTTCCACTGTTGGTTCTGGCTCGTCTAGTGACTGGTTGGATTGCTCGTCCCCCTCGTCGTGATCCTCCTCATCCTCTTGTTCGTGAATGATGGTGTTGTTTAGTTCCGAGGTCAGGTTTCGGCTGCTGAATCCTCTTGACGAACTGAATTGTACTGCCTCAATGGAATCCTGGATTTGCTTTTGAATCAGCTGGTTCTGTTCGCTCAGATCCATGTCTTTGGTACCAATTGCATACACAATTTTCGGTACGAACATGAGCACCAGGATGACCATCGAGATGACAAAGATCATAAAAACCAAGATGAGGTAGTACGCCTGTGGATTGTCCCGTACGAGAAAGAGCAGCGGTATCCCGGTCAACATGGCTTGTAGCATGCTCGCCATACTCAAACCGATGAACTTGGATTCACTGAATTCACTCTTGATCATTCTCGTTTGGTAGGCGTGCCAGTTGCCTATGATCAAAACTCCCAGATTCAAAATGGCCAATGGGACCATGTAGGGTACCACATTTTCGGATTGACAGGTCGCGTAGGTTGATACAATTCGATTCCAGCCATCCGTTCCCTCGTGATCGATTCGAACATACGTCAGTGGATCCACAATACTCCAGACTGTCAAGACAACGACATTGGCCAGCAAGAGGACCAAGAAGGGTCGCAGGACTTGTGCTTCGGAGGGTCTAGACCCCACCGCCTGTGCCTGGAAGATCATTTTGACGCGGGCCGTCTTGGCAAAGAGGCCAGTAAACGTCAAGGCAAAGCCCAAGATTCCCAACCAGGGTGTGCTCATGCAAATGGCAGTGCCGCCGTCATCGGCAGTCGAATCATCGAATCCCAGTGGCACCATGGCCGCGGCCATGAGGACCACGCCCAGTGCAATAATATAGACGAATTTGGGCTGTGACACCATGACCACTCGGACACTGCGATGCATCCACATCCACGCACAAAAGGAGGCGGCAATGAAGAAGACCAAGCCAAACAAGATAAAACCCACGAATCGCAAATCCCCAATCAGATTCTGGTCCACCACCAACTCCGGAAGGACAAGAGGAATATTGGTATGTTCCAGTAGATTGGTGCCAATAAAATCGGGAACAAGCTTCTTTCCTTGCAGAAGATCGTAGAGGACTTCCACAGCCATGGATCCCATTTCGTATGGCTTTTGAGCGACCAAGCCATCGGCGTAGTTTTCTGACAATAGTTCTAGTTGGTTGGGCATGCCATCGGCCACCACCATGGTGATGCTAGGATGAGCATTGACAAACGGTCTCCAACCTTCCGCTCGCATAGGAGCACCCATCATGGGCACTATTGCAGTTGGCTTGAGTCTCCCAAACTCTTGAATCTGCACTATGGCCAGAGTATCATTTCCTTCCATATCCGACGGTGAAATGGAAATCTCGGTCCACTGGTCCGGATCGAGGGCTCCCTTGAATCCAGCCTCGCGTTCCTGAATGTTGGGATTCGGAGCGCTCACTACCGCGTAGGTGGCCTCAGTCACGTCTGGCACCAGTTGCTTGAGTACTTTGGCGAGCTGTTGACCGAGGAATGTATTGTTGGTCCCTATATACGACCTGCGCAGACTATCGGGAGCATCCGAGTCAAAGGTAACCACGGGGATTCCATTGGCCACGGCATGGGCAATCACGGGCGTGATGGTGGGAGCATCAATGACGGAAATGGCCAACCCATCCACTTCCTTGTTGTCCACTAGCTCGGTGATGATTCGTGCTTGTTCGACGGCATCCACCCCTTCCGATGGTCCAACATACATGCAGGTAACGCCCAATCGTCGCGCCGCGTCTACACAACCATTGTGAGAAACGGCAAAGAACGGAGACGCAGTCGACTTGACCGCCAACGCTATTCGGTAATTCTCAGACCCCGCAAACACCCGATCTGCCGTCACCTCATCCAACGCAAGCAGCAGCAGTAACAGAGCAACCAACGATGGTAGCAACATGGTCGTATTGTGGCTTCTTTGTCTCGTCATCTTTGACTTCTGGTGTCGTGTTGGTGTGTGCAATGGAGGTGGTGAAACGCCGAAAAGGTGAAAAGGTCACCGGTAAACAGCAAACTTGAATTATTATTAAAATTTTACAAAGCAGAGGGGAAGTCGGACTGGCAATAGCATGATACAGTGTACAAGTGTGTTAAAATGAAAACACGAATACACGAATACACCCAAACGAGAATACCGCCTTAGCCACGCATTAAACGTTGCATAACAGATCGCCAACCCGGAAAAATATTTAATTAATTAAAGGAGGTGTTTAGAGTAGATAAGTAGGTTTCTACGGAAGCCAGAGAAGGCCATTAATAGACGCACACGAGACAAGATATTTTTTAATTATTAATACCGCCTGCTAGACAGCTGTTAGCTAGAGACACGCTGAAAAGTTGACAACACCGTAATACCGTAAGAAGTACGAACGTACTTAAATCGTTTCTTCCCCTGAGGCCTTTCCATTATTGGCACCTGAAGGGTACAGGTTTCTTGTCGCACCGGATGTTCTACCAGCTTTCGCGGTTTATCAGTAACGTGCCACGTTACCAGCAAGCTGCGCACCACATGAACTACGAGTAGACTACAGGAGCGCCTGAAAACGGGACTCGCGAGCTCGCGAGCACCTCTTCCGCGAATCCGATATAGAGGAGCAAGTTGGCCATGGTTCTTAAATCTCGCGGATTCTCGCGGTTATTCGCGGTAATTCGTTTCGTGGATCGCGGATTCGTGGAAAACCGCAAAATCCGCGGATCGTGCCACAATTCGCGGATTATCAGCCGCTCCAGTACCGGGAAAGTCCCGCAAAAACTGAGTTTTTGCGATACTCTTTAATTAAACAGCCTGATTGTTGAATAAATCCAACAAGTGTTGAAAAAGGGTTAATTAAAGTGTTGAAGAGCTCTTGATTTAATGTTGACTCCGTTTCAACAACTGTTGGATTTACTGTTGCATTTTTGTACATTATTTTCAACACTTTTACTGTAACTATCTACTAATGGATTCAACATTGAATTCAGTGTTAAACAGTATTCAACACTGTTTAAAAATTTTTAAAAAAGTGTTTAAATAAGTGTTGAACAACTGTTTAACAAAAGTCAACACTGTTGAATTCAAATTCAACACTTTTACAGATCCTTTCAGCGATTCCAGCTTTTGTGGGACTTTCCGGGGTTAGTGGTCTTTCCTACGGCTGTAGCAGTAGCTCTGGAGCGTTCCTCAATCGTGTGTCCCGTTAAATCTGAAAAATAGGGGCGGATTTTAGAATTAAGGGCGTTTCCTCTTTAGGGGCGGGTTTCGAAAACGCCCCCAATTAATAGGGGCGGTTTCGGGAATCTGCCCCTAAAATAGGGGCGTTTTGGCGATTTTGGGGCGGGTTTGGAAACTGCCCCTAAATGGAAACGGGACTGAATGGTAAATACATTGAAAACGCCCCTATTTTAGGGGCAGGTTTGGAAAACGCCCCTAATTATTAGGGGCAGTTTCGGGAATCCGCCCCTAAAATAGGGGCGTTTTGGCGATTTAGGGGCAGGTTTGGAAACCGCCCCTATGTTTTGTCGTATTTAGGGGCAGATTCCCCGAAACGCCCCTATTTTAGGGGCGGATTTAAGATACTGGCACGACTGAGGAATGCTCCTGAAGATTTCTTCTTCATGCATCTCCCATCTAGCTAGTAGAGTCTCCGTATCTGTTGGGCTCTGGGCAGCATGCAGAGGTGCTGGTGGCAACGCATGCTCAACCGAGGTGCAAGCAACCTTGGCAATGTTCCAATTCGCAGAAAGCAACTGGTTGCATCAAAGTAGACCGAGTTGCTTAGTTGGTCCTTCTTCACACGGCAGCAAGCAACAGATTTTCAAAATCAAAAGGTGCAACACCCCAAGATCTTCTTAGAATCTGAAATCATTCCAGATCCATGCAGTCCACCGGCCCGTGTTTGGTCAAGGGGTGGATCTCTTGGATTGGTACGGCATCCTTGCTTGATGTTGCTTCCTAGTTCCTAGCCAGCTAGTACGGTAGCCAGTACCTCGTACCTCGCTCATTCTGCGTTGGTCAAAACAGCAAAGTGAAAGCACTGGTCCCTCGAGGCTCACAGCATGCTAGGTCGGTACCGGTACCACCAACCACCAATGTACCCAAAAACAAAAATATAGACTTGGGGGAGGGACTTTTCGCCCTTGGAATTGTGCTAGCTAGTGCATGCTGCCCAAAATTGAACTTTTCGAGATCATTGGCGCATTGGAGCACACGCTTCCGATCTTCGACGTCGTGGGGCACAACTGCCGGGAAGGGTGGACAACATGCCGTTGGTCTTGCCAATAACCACGACAACCTCGCGTGCTGGATCATTTTCTTATGGCGAGACTGCAGAGCTGCTGGAAGTCCTCGCAACTAAGCACGTGCTCCACGTGCTGGTGGAGATGAAACAGCACTAAATAACGCTGGCGGAGGAATAGAACTCTCGATGTAACCTTTTCGAGAGCCAACACAAAAATTGTGGAAGCAACTCCATCTAAGTTCCAGTTTCATTGGCAAGCGCATCTGGCACAGGTAATAGGTAATACTGGTAGCTGAAAGTGTCAATACTTCACATCTATCTGTTCTGTGAAAACGTGGCCAGGAACCATGGCAGCGACGACACCTCTCCTTTTGCTGCTGGATAGCGTCCTCTCGCAAGATGCCGCCCGCATCAACGAGGCAAGGACAAGAATCCGGCAGTTGGTGATCCAAGCGAATGGCCAGGCTCCAGCGCCAACCAATCCTTCCCACTTTTCTTTGTTGCAGGAAGTAGACACGCTGTTGACACCATATCCCCATCTAGCTTCTGTGGCAAGCACTCATGATGGGTCTCTACCGCTGCATTTCGCTGCCTCCATTGGAGATGTTCAGGTGGCTACCCGGATTTTATCTCAGGTAAGACAGTGTTGATACTTACTGGTTGCGTGCTCTGCTCAAGAAGTGTGGGGATCCCTCTGACACTTTGCCATGCTATTAAAAATTCATCATTGATCACTCGGTGCAGTATCCACCTGCTGCCTCCACGCCCAATACCAAGGGCAAAATCCCTCTTCATTATGCAGCACGGGAAGGTCGAACCGACATGGTGGCGTATTTCCTATATGCCACACCTCGTACAGCCGAGATAACATCCAAAAAGCAAAAGCTGGCGTTGCATTTTGCAGCTGGGGATGGCCACACATCAGTTGTGAGGAATCTCTTGCATGTATACCCCAAAGGAGCTTCTCTGCCGTCGGCCAAGGGAAAGCTACCACTCCATTTTGCAGCTCGATGGGGGCATATTCAGATTGCCTCGGATCTGTTATTTTTGTATCCAGAAGGCGTTCGTTGTGTGGATTGGGATGGATCTTTGCCCCTGCACGATGCAGCGAGAGAAGGACAGGTGGTCATGTCCAAATTCTTGATTGAGCGATATCCTACTGTAAGTGGAAGAGACGGCATGGAAGGGAGTGTTGAAAATGGAGCGCTCGTAGATTCATTCGGTTTCGTTCACGTCTTTTAGGGTTTGAGTATTGCCAACATTCGTGGTGAGATTCCACTTTTCCCGGCGGTGCGAAGTGGAAACGTTGATTTGGTGATCCTGTATCTGCAAGGTTGGCCCATTGCAGGAATGCATGTGCTGAAATCAGTCACCGAGCAAGACAGTATTCAGGATTGGGATTGGAAGATTGTGGAACTATGTCTTCGGGGAGCCGTTGAGAACTTTTTGGACTGTCAGCTCTTGGAGGGGAAAGAACCTCCAGCTGTGTGCTGCCCGGTCCAACGAGACGATTTTCTTTGCAGCATTCAATCTACTGGAGAAGAACAAGGCAAGAAGGGCAAGAACAAAAACAAGACGACGCGTCTCATGAAAGCTTGTTGTGAAAGGCAAATGGGATGTTCAGAGCCCAATCTTGGCCATGTCGTGCTGCCCACTTCTTCGTTGTCGGCTACGTCTCCCTACGCAACAACAAACAGTGCAGTGGGACCAATGCCACGCTCCAAGTCACCCATCCTGGAGGAAGGTGGAAGCCGTAGCAAGAAGCGTTCAGGAACTGGTGAAAACTGTCTGGATCGGAAGCGAAAGCGAAGCGAATCAGGCGTTCAAGGGGATGATGCATTGACAGCAACCATGGCTCGTCAACGAAAGTTCATTGCACTTCATGCCGCGCTCGCATGTGGTGCATCCTCTCATGTGTTGCGTTGTGTTATGAAGAAATACCCGGAGCAACTAAAGGAAACGGACGAGCTAGGGCAATTCCCCCTTCATCTTGCTGTTCAAAGTCCGGCCTGTTGTCCCACCAAACAATCCACAATGAGCTCTCAGACCAGGAGATTGAACACGGACGATCACAAGGATGTATTAAAGATTGTGGTGGAAGATATTCTGAAAGCATGTCCCGAGGCGGCCTGCGCCCCCGATTATCTTGGCCGGCTGCCACTCCATCTTGCTATTGCTGCCAAGGCCGACTTTGCAATCATTCAAGAGCTGGTCAAAGCGAATCCGTCGTCGGGCGTGGATCCTGTACCTTCCAGCTACTCTCGCTTTGAAGGCAAGCCACCAATCTATATGGCAACTGACTATGACTGCGATTTGAGCACTACCTATCTCTTGCTCAGAGGTGACCCCAGCGTTGTCTCTCCAGGTTCCAAGGCAGCTGGAATAGTCAAGGCGGATTGAGTAGACTCTTCTTGCTGTCGTTTGCGAGTAGATCGGCTCCAGCAAGGTTATGACGGGAGTCTCATTTGTGTGGGGAAGAACTAGATTGTTATTAGAATCATTGAATCTAGCATGGTGTATTTGCCTATTACGGTACCACTTGTGATCCATTCCTCTAGCTAGCTATCTAGCTAGTCCTTTGTCGTCACCCAGGACTGCTTGGATCCAGGCTTGGGCCAGTGTTAGCTAGCCAGATGCGGTGAGTGAGTCGCCGAGTTCTCCCGCTTCTGTGTGCAAGACTTGCGAAATGGTCCGAGACGTACCGTACCGCTTCGAGACTTGGAGGGTCCAGAGCTTGGTTGGTATTTACTGCAGTAAATCCGGGTTACTGGCTCCTTACTGTCCAATTACTGCCATTGTTGGCCACCTAATTACTGCAGTAAGTAATCCCATGCAGTAAGTAATCTGCCTTTGCAACAGTAATATCCAGTAAATGACAGTAAAAGCACAGTAATTAGCCTTTATTACTGCAATTACTGTAGTTTACTGCCTTCAATTGGCTTTAAATTACTGTGCATAATTACTGCTACTGAGGAATTACTGCATTACTGCCATTACTGCTCCTTTACTGACCTCATGGCAGTAAGGAATAAACAGTAAATACCAACCAAGGTCCAGAGTCCAGGCAGAGAGAGCAGAATAATCCGGTTGGGATGCCCCCAACAAGGTGCACAAAGACAACGAAAGAAAGTGCCCTCGGGCATGATGCTTGTAAATCAGTCGGGCTTGTTCAAATACGACTTGACTGGAACGTGACAGACAGATTTCCTAGTAAAATTTACCTTTTTCCTCAATTTAAAATTAAAATGGGTATCATTTGAAGTCAATTTAATCTCTAAATTTGTCAATTTGATTTTTCGCCTGCTTAAGTTGGCCAGCCTTGAAGGCTTCTGTCCTCGGGCGTCGGCGTCAACCTCCATCCGATTGAAATCCATTCCTTCTTCCATCCTTGAATTCGTGCCCCCTCATAATTTTTGTTGTTTGCTCATCGGAACGAAGTGTCGACCAACAAAAGAAGAAGTACCAAAAGTAACAAAGCGCTGCCATCTCTGGTCACCAGCGTAGTTGCTGGGCCGATACCAGTGGAACAAGCAAAAGCAGCACCAGCAGGAAAAAGACCGAGTCCAAACAACACCATGAATGCCGCATTGGCCAACGCCACGAGAGGTGCAGGTTTGACTTTTCATGACGTGCATGATGCAGGCCCACCAAGAGACCCGCTACCCGAAACCCATCCACCAGTCATCTTTCGGGGTGAGACGGGCACTGAGGCCATGGTCGAGCCTTATGATGGTGGACCGCCATCTCCGGAAATCCTTTTCTTGGCCAAGTCTGACAATCCCGAACAGGCGTACAAATTGATCGGAAAACCCAGCAAGCATCTCGACCACCATGGTGCCGGCTGGGGATCCATTCACTATGCTGTCACTCTCCCTCGCAGGCGCCGGAATAACGAGACTGTCTTAACGTTCAGAGCACCAGACCCAAGCGAAGCCCGGCTCGTCGCCATTAAGCAGCTGGACAAGGCAGTGGTTGGTTCCTACCTCAGACGTGGCGGCCACGAGGACCCATACAAGGAGATATCCCGAATGCAGCGACTTGGCGATGGGTTTCACGTTCTTCAGTGCCTTGAAGCATTGGAAGACGACAAGTGCATTTACTCTGTGATGCCATACTGCAATGAAGGTAGCCTGATGGATAATCTCCCGTGGACTATGTCTGGTGGCACAGGATACCCCGAAGATGAAGCCAAGGCTCTCTTTATCAACATCCTGGAGATCCTTGTCTACCTTGAAAGGCATGGAATTTTCCACCATGACCTGGCTCCGGATAATTTCTTATTCTTCAATGGTCGTCTGGTCCTCTTTGACTTTGCCATGTCTCTACCGTTTCCCAGAGAAGACGACGGGACACGCTACTTGATGAGGCCTCAAGGTGTTTATGGGACCATGCCATGCATGGCGCCTGAGCTCTACTTCAACGGCACGCCGTTTGATGGAGTTGCTGGTGATCTCTGGGGCGCTGGCACAATTCTCTACTCCCTCCTCACAGGCCACATTCTCTACTCTCTACCGGCCCCAGCTGACATCCTCTTCCGCTACTACATCCTTGCTGGTGGATTGCGCCCTGGTCTGAACGAAGAAATGGTGGAAATCTTGGAGGGTGCCTTCAGTCCTGACAGCAACGATGATCAGGACAATCTCATGGCTCACGCAATGGCCAATTTGAACATTCCTCCCGATGCCCTCGAAGTTTTGATTGGCCTCTTGAATTTCAACCCATCGGCGCGCTGGACCCTCAAGCAGACGATCGATTCGGCCTGGGTTCAAGCCGCCTAAGACCAATCCCTTCGCGTCGCGTGGATTGAAGATTCACGCTGTTGTGAGGGCTGTCCGCAGCAGGTGCCGATACCCTTCCCTTTATGTTGCATACGTGGTTGACTGTGTACATGTTTTGAATTCATGAATTCATGATGTTAAGAATTTTATATGACGAGCGCTTCGTCGAACAAATCAAAAGAAAAGAAAAATAGATGCTACCCCCAAGAAATTATAAAAATACTAGCCATTCATATTATGAAACTTTATGAAACTTCGATGTCTTGATGCGCTCGGTGCCGCTTTTGTTGTGTTGTAGCTGGTGACAGGTGTTCTTTGTTGTGGCGGCCAGAGATGTGATGGCCGCATCACATCCCCCGGTAGTGCTTATCAATCCTTTTAATGGCGTCCAGCCCCCTCGCCATTATCGGAATCACACAATCGTTCACATCAGAATCACTCGCGAGAGGGAAATCCGGGTTGACCCGCACCAAAACGACGTCCCCGCCCTTTCTCGCTACATCCTCCACCATCCGTTCCGAGGCAAATCGGCAGGTTGGGACGTTCAAGCCGCACCCAACTTCCACAATACATACTTTGAGTGGGTTGTTGCTGTTGCGTTTTTCACACAAATCCAACACAGTCTCCTTCCACAAGTTCCAGCGCTCGCCCTGGGCAATATCTCGTTTCCATCGAGCGTCACCAAACATGAGGATGGCTGGACGGGCATATGCTTTGCAGAGAGCACATTGAGGCCAGTTGGGGAAAACATCGTTTCCTTCGCTATCAGTGGCAATTGATGTTGATGTGCGCCAGTTGTTTGGTTCCTTTGGTGGTGGCATTTTTTGGAGAGGCTGTGTTCGGTTGCTTCCTCCAACCTGCCCAATGTGGGGGACGTGGTTGCTGTTGCTGCTTTTCTTTCCGGCTTGTGTTGCCGTGTCATTTTTAGAAGAAGAAGAAGTGTCGCCCTGGACGGATGGCGCCAACATAGTTTCCATGTCGATTTCAAAGGAGTGATCCAAAGGAGCCCTGAAGACCCCGGCATCGCAATATGGGTCGGAACATTGCCAAGATTCGATATTTCCGTGGCATTCATGGATCTCGTGTGCCTCAAAAAGATCATGCAAATGAGCATCCACGTTGGATGTAAAGGAGAAAAAAGCACCTGCTGGACCGGATTTTACCAAGTAGGGGGCATGCCTCTCCACAATTTCGTCGTCAAAGGGACGCTGCAGTTCTACTTTCCGCTCAATTCGTGCAGAAATAGTTTCAGCAACATTGTTGTTGTCAAAATTTTTGTCTTGTTTCCATCGGTGGAGGATAGAATATCCCTCGTGTGGCTGTGTCTTGCGATAATCATTGAAACACTGTCCCCAAAAGCCATAGAATAGTTCCGGATCATCAAACTGCCAATGCGGCATGCAGATATCCGAATAATCCAGATCTCGTGCCTGATAGGCAGGAACCTTGGCCACATCACGGTAGATTGCAAGACCACTATCCGCACTGAACCCGGCCCCCGTCACTAGCAAAAAGACATCTGCCTCTGCCAAAGCCCTGGCCGCCTTTTGACAATAGCGGTCAAAGTTGGCAAGGAGTTCCCCGGCTTCTTCCGCATCCGGTTTGTTTCCCGATTCCATCAAATCACTCCACATGATTCGATTCGAATGATTCGCTCCTGCTCTTTCCAGATGCTTCGTTGGGATCCTCCAGGCGCTGCCGTGCCCGTGTCCTCTAATCTTGCGTTGCTGGTGGGTGGCTTGCTGTTGATGCTTGCTACTAGCTACCGGTAGCTTGGATATCCCCAAAGGTTTGTGCCTCTCGTCGTCTTCGTCGAGGAATCTTTGATGTGCACGTTTGGGAGGATCTTCTCTCAGTCGGGTGTCCAGTCTTGGCACAAATGTCTCAGCTCTAACGCTAATGGAGCATCAACGGGTCAAAGTCCAGATGACTTCAGCACCCCCTGAAACTACCGGACGGTAGCTAGTGCTGTTGTGCAGTGTGCAGGCGGTGTCCAAGCCACAAGACCTAAGGAAAAATGAGTTCCCTGTGCTGAGCATAGATTAGAGCCAAACGTTGGTGCTGGTGTTTTGCCCGGGAAAAATTCAGACGTTTGATCTGGAAGATTGTGGTTGTCTGGGAGGTGCCCCCTTGTGTTTGGGCCCTTGTGTAGTGGCTGTGACGAGGATAGGCACCAGTGCTATTAGTACGTTTTCTTAATCTTAAATTAGCTCACAATTTGTGCACCTGGACAATTTGCTAGCAAAATAGAAACAGGTGTGGTGGCACCAACCACCATGGCCAGCTGCTGCTGGGCAGCATGGCAACAGGAGTAGAGTAGAGCACTCCCATGGATGGGAGACTGCAATGCAACAACAGAAAGAGTCAGGAAAAGCACCATTTTGAGCCAAAAAGTGAGACCTCCATTTTCAATCTTCCAACATACTGCGGCATTTCCAGCCGTACTCCTCCATCTTCCCGTGTACAGTACCTTTTCTTCCAACAAATAACACCATAAGCCATCGCCGCTCCTCCTACCTCCTCTCACCCGACAAGCTCATGGTTAAAAGGCAACAGCACGGAAACACCATAACAACAACGCGGAAAGCATCCTCATTCTTCCATGCTCTTCCACGCGACCTTCTTTGACACCATAAGTGACCTCAACTGACACACCCGAAGCAACTGTCAACCTCCGTACAGTATCCTCCATACAAAAAGGTGATGTTCTGACTGACACATTGACTGGTTATTACACGTACAGCACGTTCCATACCAAAATCGGTGACGTTCCGGCTGGAACCTTTACTGGTTACTTGACTGGTAAGAATGTACAAGCGGCACCCAATGATTTAACGCGTTTCAGTCTTGCGGGACGTTTTGTGACGTTCCGTGATGTTTTGTGACCTTCCGCGATGTTTTCAGAGTGTTCTCGTGACGTTTCAAGTTTCCAGTGAGAACACTAAAGGTCACCTCCACGTTAATTCCTACGTGGCACCAGTACTGAGCGAGATTTAAAAGATTTTCCATCCTCCTCGAGTCAACTTCCTCCCTCTCATAAATCTAAATTACAGGATACCAAACAGGACTTATTGTTGAGTCGCCCCAGGACACTGCCTCTATTTATAAGCGAATCGTCCACCGGCAACTAAAGACTATAGGCCCTCTGACACTTAACTCTTCTTTAAGGCAACTATCTTCTAACCGATGCGACTCCTGTGCAGCTTCGAAAACGATTACCGGTACGCATACCTTGACCGCAACTTCTACCTCTCGCGCGACTGCAAAGGCAAGAAGATCAGAACCAAGGTAAAGTTCACGACCAAGTCTAGCGAGTACGACCGTGACCAGCTCACCTACAAGGTGACTCGGAACGCAGTATTGGTAGTGCAGTACTGCAAGTGCCCGACTTGGGAAGACAACGGATACTCGATCGCACGTCCGACGAGGACTGGGCGAAAATTCTCCCAGGAACTTTCGTCTATACAGCAGAATGTTTGCCCCTGATCACATCCATCGTTCGGAAAAACCCGGTGTGATTTTAAGTTACGGCCAAAATCCGGGAGTGCCCAAATATTCATTGCAGGACCGCGACGAAATTTACGGACTAGAGAACAGGTTCTACACTGGTTTGTCCCCACGAGACCTTGACGATATTGCCGTTGGATTGGCTCCAGATGTCGATTGGGTCCAGGCAGGTGAAAACCACGAACCCGAAGAACCCGAAACCGAAACCGAAGACGCTCCTGAAGAAGAAGCCCAAGTGATCGAAGTCGAAGTCAACGAATCGAATCCGGAACAGCGTCAAGTGATTGTGTATCTGCCCGATTCCGACTCTGAATAGGCGTTATTGAATAACGAGAACATTAGGGTAGTATAACTTAATTCTTTTCTTCCAACCTCCAACCAACAACTTCCAAACATGGCGAGAAGCTCCAGTGCCATACATCCGAACAACCACCTTTAAGGCGGATGAAGTGAAGTTCGAGTATGAGCAAGCAAAGGCAAGCATAAAGAAAATCGAAAATAAAGACCAGAACGATAAGCTTGTCGAGACAACAACTGAGACAACAACCGCAAAGGCATCTCAAAAAGTGTACCTGAAGACGTATGGAAACACAAGTGAAGAAGACGCAGAACATGCCTTCGAGGCATTAGAAAAATTACAGGCGGAACTCGAAGCCGAGTTCAAGGTCGTCGAGACCAACAAAGCCAACGATGCAACCCTGTTGTTTAAAGCAACAAAGAAGATCTTTACAGGATCAGCTTTGACAGAATGGAACAACATAGT